ACTTTTGAGCAATAAGAACAGAACCGATGATCTTTAATAAACGATTATGGCGTGGAACCAATAAATTGACTGTCAAATTGATTACCTTCGCAAAGTCGCTGTCGGTATCTTTGAATTTTTTTATAGATTTTTTTTTATAGAACATCACTTTGATCATAAAACGATATTTCACATCGAGAGGGTTAAAGTTCCCTTGAATCAAATTCAATTTACGACAAGTCATTCGGCAGCTCATAAAAGAAATCAATGTGTGCCAAGTTGGAACCATCGCGAACGGTCCGGCTTCGATTTTGATGAAACTTTGTACACTTATAAAGCAGCCAAAAATAATCGACACGTATTTTTTTTTAGCTGCGGTAACTCGAGTTTAAGGGGTGAAACCACCCCTTGAAGTTTTGGCTCGAAACGGCTATCTCGAAAACGGAAAGACATACAAAAAAATTGTTAATGGGCGAGGTTGATGGTTTCTTATGTACAATAACATGGTGTTAAAAAATTTTAAAAAATACAATTTTTTATAACAAAAAAAAATTTATTAACTTAATTTTCCATTTTATTGAAATTTTCATAATGATAAAAAATGACGAGCATTTTATTCCAAATCCATTGGTATGCGATTTTTTAAAATTGCCTCCTACAGTTTTGCAGATTTTGATGATTTACATCTTGCGCGCACATCCATTATGGTAGTAGCCGTTCTAACTTTGATTTTAATGAAGCACTGTAGGCTTGCACTAAATCAAAGTTAGAACGGCTACTACCATAATGGATGTGCGCGCAAGATGTAAATCATCAAAATCTGCAAAACTGTAAGAGGCATTTTAAAATATTACATACCAATGGATTTGGAAAAGTTCGGCCACCCTTGGGAAAAATTTTAATGGGATAAAAAAAAATACGTGTCGATTATTTTTGGCTGCTTTATAAGTGTACAAAGTTTCATCAAAATCGAAGCCGGACCGTTCGCGATGGTTCCTTGTCAGTGTTTCGATTGAAGAGCAAACATTGAAAATCACGCCTTTGATCAATCTCTCCTATCCTGTTACATGAAAATATTTGAAAAAAAATTGTAAAGAATAAAAATGCGTAAACATGTTGAAAAATTTTGAACCGAAGCAATACTGGCCAATAATTCAAAAATAGACTTTAACAAAGGTTTCTGACGATAATGAAGATATAACGATACTCTAAGATAAGCTACGTGAATTGATAAAATTGGCATACAGGGTGTTGAAAAATTTTAATGGGAGATTCTAGAGGCCAAAATAAGACGAAAATCCAGTATATCAATTTTTTGGCTGAGGATTCGTTAAAAAGTTATTAACAATTAAATTAAAAAATTTAAAATCGTTCTGGAAAAATTATTTTCGGTTGCGAGAGTCAATTACAATTATTTTTGGTGAATACGCATACCTCCGAAATCCTACCCACTTTCGAGAAAAAAAATCGGGTATGTGCAGAAATTTTTCGACAAAAACAAATTTGTCAAATCGTTTTAAAAAAATTATTTTCGGTTGCGGGGGTCAATTATAATCATTTTTGGTCATTACACATACTCCCGAAATCCTAGGCACTTTCGAGAAAAAAATTCCTTATCGAAAATCTAATTAGATGCCTAAATTTTTCGACGAAAAAAAAATTTGAAATCGTTCTGGAAAAATTATTTTCGGTTGCGGGAGTCAATTACAATTATTTTTGGTGAATACGTATACCTCCGAAATCGAAAAAAAAATTCAGTACGGGTGGAACTTTAAACGTTAATAATTTTTTAACGAAGCCTCCATCAACAAATTGGTATTCTTGATTTTCGTCGTATTTTGGCCACTAGAATACTTCATTAAAATTTTTCCCAGGAGTGGCCGAACACCCTGTATGTATGTTAATTTAATGATATAACTTTGCAATGCTAATATTCGAGTATTTATAAAACGTTGGATTTAAAACAAACACCAAATACCAATTCACCCACGGTCTTCCAGTGTCCAAATATTTTATCGATAATCACTAATGCACATTCTGCTCGATTCCCAGGACAGAGAAACAACGCACGAGAAACTCACGCGGCCCGTGAAACCACTATTCGCGTTGAAGGACTAGCAGTGACTGATCCGAAAATTCTTACAAGAGATCAGTTTTGCATTTACGTATCCTTTCTCCCACTTTATTCGACCGAGAAACGAATCGCGGGCTCAGGGGATATTTTCCTACGCGATTCAATGTTTATGTTTACTTAGCAATGTTCGAGACGGTGGATCCAGCGTAATCCAGTTCTCTTGACATCTGCCTCGTCCTGTTTCAAACAAACGTTCCCGTTTGCTCAAACTATCGACGTTTTATCGGCAAGCAAATAATATACTCGACGAATTACCAAATTGATTACATTGTAAACGAATTTAAGGAGATCTGTTTAGAATTTAAGGGAGTAAGTAGAACCTCGTTTATCCGAACGAAATACTGCTGAACCTCAGATAAACAGACTCATGAGTGAACCTTTATTACACGAACCCGTATTCTTAATTAAACGCGTATTTTTATACATATGTACACATGTATGTAACACGAGTTAACATTTGGTGCAAGCTGAAACGTAATTTAATACCATTAATAAATTTGTAGATCATTTTGAAATATTGTTCATAATTTATTTGAAAACATTTATAAGTGCGTACATAGAATATAACACAATTAAATTGCAAAACGTAGTAATTAACAAAGCAATTAGGTCTTAGCAGCGTAAAACAATAATTTATAAGAACAGAAAAATAATAATAACCCTTCAAAAATAACAATCCTTATAATAATGAACCGTTAATAATAATACTAAAAATTATGAAAATCGTTAACATTGAGAAAAATAATAAATCTACTAAAGGAAATATTAATTAACAACAATAAATATAATTAGTTGACTAAAAGACGGTGGAAGGGATAAGCATCTCTATTGTCGGACCACCTCGGTTATCTGAACTACCTTGTTCCCCGACGTGTTCAGATAAACGAGGTTCTATTGTATTGCGGTCTAAAATTTCGAAAAACTCGAATTTGACGTGATAATTTTGAATACATTCACGGTGTTGCATTTTAAGCTTTTTCTGTGTTTACATTTTCTTGTAATTTGTGAGAAATTTGCAAGAGAAATATAGAATTTTTACAAGCAGTGGCTTTACATCCACTCCAAATTAATTTCGTGAAAGGGAACTATCATGATTCTTTACAATTTAAATGTATACTCTAAACAAGGTCTAAAAATGAACTAATAATTACATCAACTTTATACACTCCCAGCCAAAAAGATAGCACATCTGTGCTATCTTTAATTTCTCACTGACACACGTACAATTTTGGGTTTGTAACGCATAATATAGTAAGCTTACGAGCTCAGAACATGCGGATCGCTGCAAAGATGTCGCGGCATCACGGCGTTTTGTTTACAAAACAGAAACAGTGTTGTATACGAAGGACGAAATGATAGCACACTTATAAAGCAAATAAACATTTATTTAATTTATTATCAATCTATATAATTATTCATTAATTGTTTAATAATTTGTACATCCTCCTTTATTTTCTATGATTTCAATCATTCTATTTGGTAACGACTTATATAATTTTTGAATATTTTCTTGATTTAAATTGCTCCATTCCGCGACAATAGCTTCTTTTAGTTCGTGGACATTCTCGTATTGTTTCCCATGTTTGTAAACTGCTTGACTGAGTTGACTCCAATAATTTTCGATAATATTAATATCCAGTGAGCGCGCAGGCCATGATAAAACACGTATCTTTTCTTTTTCAAAATAGGTTTTTACAAGTTTTGCAGTATGCACCGCTGCATTATCCTGCTGATATATGAATCTAAACCCAGATATACGTAGGGCATGCTTTGTTATTTGTTGCTTTATCAAATCCAAATAATATTTACTGTTCATTTTTCCATGAATAAATTTTATTTCCGTCTTACCGAAGTAACCGATGGCCGCCCACACCATTACTCCACCACCGCCCATTGCTTGCCGAATTTTTGACAATTTTTCTTTTCTTAGATCGTGGAAATAATAGTTTAAACCATCAGGTCCATTTAAATTAAATTTTTTTTCGTCGGAAAATATCACTTTTCGCCACTTCTTCTTCCAGTGTATTCGATCTTTGGCAAATTGTAAACGTTCTTGTTTGTACCGTGGAGTTAATGCAGGTTTCTTTTTTATTTTTAGTCTTCTAATGTGCTTGCATGATTGTAATACATGACGAACACTTGAAACACTTGCATTGACGCCAGCCATTTGCATGATTTGTTTTGTTGTACACTGGGTATTGGAAGCTATACGCAAAACAGTTCGTTTATCCCGTTGTGACAACGATGATGGTCTTCCACTACTCTTCTTTTTACCATAATTTTCCACGTTTTTAAGTAAATTATAAATTACCTTTCTACTTCTGCTAGTTATTTTCGAAATTTTAGATACTGATAAATATTGCCTTTTCAATTCAAGAATATGCTTTATTTCTGATGTCGTTAATTTTTCCTCCCGTCCCATTCTTGTAAATTACTAGGCAATACTTTCGCGTCTTGAATACCTAAGAGATCGCGAAATACTGAGCAGTTTATAAACATGTAGACGGAGTGTGCTATCATTTCGTTCCTAGAATACAACACTGTTTCTGTTTTGTAAACAAAACGCCGTGATGCCGCGATCTCTTTGCAACGATCCGCATGTTCTGAGCTCGTAAGCTTACTATATTATGCGTTACAAACCCAAAATTGTACGTGTGTCAGTGAGAAATTAAACATGTGCTATCTTTATGGCTGGGAGTGTATATGTAAAGTTTCATTTAAAATTAATTTGGTAAAAGAGAATTACCAAGAATCTTTAATATAATTTAAATGAATACTGTAAAGGAGGTCTAGAAATGAAATAATAATTAACTGGAAGCTTTAAAGATTTGTGTGTAAATGTGTTTGGCGTATCAGCTAAAGTAGAGTACTTGTAATCTGTGCTCACCTCATTGTTCGGATGAGTGCCATCCTTATCAATAGCGTTGACTTGAGTAACTTTACTACCGACTGGTTCACCCTCGAGTACAGTTTCTTGCTCACGTTCGGTGAACAAAGGTATTTCGTCGTTTACGTCCTCCAGGACAATGTGTACGGTAGCTTCGGATGCAAGTTGTTGGGCGCCATTGTTCTGCAGGAGAGAATTGCCTTTATGTAGCCGTATATATTCTATTTTCCGTTCGATTCAGTCTCGTCGCTAACTTTCGGTTCAAGCGCAATTAATTAGCAACAGTGACGTTGAATTTGGTCAGTTTGTCAGAGAATATTGTATGTTTCTACGTACTGGATTCAAATTGTAATTACGTGCTTAAAATTAAACTCTTCGACCCCGAGATAGCAAGTCACACTCACGTGCATCTATAATATTTGAATAGCCATTGCTATAATATTTTTTTAAAACTTATAAACCTGTATGTATAGTTTCAAATGTTTAATAAAAAAGAAAAATTCAATTTCTGTATTGCATACGATAAAAACCTAAATTGGCACCAATTTCAGATCGATGAAAATAGTCTACTTCTATGTATATTTGGATTGTTTTTGTGATTATTTTAACGTGAAGTATAATTTTACAATGTCGTTATTAAATAATTGGTGCAAAATTGTATATTTCATAATCCCTAATGGGGCAGGGAATGCCATCAATTTAAAAATGTAAACTCCAATAACTTTCAATTTAGCTTTCGAGAATAATACACTTTGTTCATTTCATCTGTATTTGTAAGTATAAATTGTGAATAACGTAACAGTAATAAATGTTTATTAAATGCGATTAAATTATTTCTGTTTGACACAAGGGTCGAAACATTTAAACAAATACACAATTTAAATTATCCTTGTTACTGCTACATTCCTCATAATTTATTTTAAATATAATTAACATTAAATAGCGATATTTAGAAATCTCAAAATTAATTAAAACATCGATTAATAAATTTACTTACAAATAAAAATGTGTTCTACAAAAAAGAATTTAAACGGATCACTCCCAGTTATTAATTTCTTTTTAAATGGATATTTGTTATACGTCGAAATCTCCTTCGCCCGAAGAAAACGTAAATTCGTAATAACGTTTAAATTTAAGCAATTTATGCATCTCAGTAAATTCCCCTGACATGAATTTTCAATTTCATAATGCTGTCCACTTTATCGCCGTGAATGGTCCTGAGAATTTCAGGATACCTCGGGGCGGATGGGGTGGATTTTAAAAATATTCTCTCGGGCAAAATGAAAAATGGAAAAATGTCTTTTCACTCTTGAATAAGCATTAACGCAGAAATCGTGAAGAGCCCGTACTCCATCGTTATCCCCGTGGTACTTACTACCTCGGATGTACAAGCTACAGATATTCCATTGCAGCAGAACTACTGAAATATAAATAATACCGCGATTCGTAAGCGGATTTCCAAGTTGCTCGGTTCTCAGTTTCTAAAAGGATTAAAGAACGGTGGTTATTTAATCGCGGAGATTGCACTCCGCGACCACTCAAAAATTTCGAGGAGAATACACACTCGTTGGTAAATGTCTTAACTGCATTCAATTGCTCGTGCTTCGAACACGAAGAGACTTTTACTGCTTGCAACAACTACAACTTAATCGAGATTCGATGATTACTTTGAACATTTTCTAACGGTTTCCCGATATTCTACAGGGTGGGTCACCTGTGACTGAAAGTTGAAATATTTTCGAAACTGCTGAATGGCATTCGAGGGTCGAGTTTTTTTTTTAAATCGTATGTTTCTTGATACACTAATCAATTCAGCTGGTCATTCTCTATGAGGAAGTATGAAGCTAATTGTACCGAAAAACCTTTACTTCAGGAGATATTTTGATTTAAATATTGCGGATGATACAACTGCATGTTTTTTGTTTTAATTATGTGCGGTATTTTTTTTCTGTAAAGCGATAGAGGCTAGAAAGTAGAATTTATCTGTAGTATTTTACGTATTACTATGTTTACTACAGATGTTTACTAGCCTTGGTTTCAAGAAGGAAATGCAACTGTTTTATTTATTTTTTATTTGTTGAACGCTATCAGGGTTATTTGAAAGGTTGTTTTTTTAAAATAGGAACCTGTATTTGATGTATTTTTATTACCAAGCATTTGTATGAAACACTTCTTCATCAAATTTTAACTTGGAATGATATTTAATAAAATACAAAATTTATTTAATTTAAAAAGAACAGGGATTGTAGATTTCTGGATACGTATTACCCAACTTAAAGAATTTTTATAGGTAAATGGCATTTCATTTCAAGATCTATAGACATTTTGAAAACTAAAATTGTAAAACTAAAAGTATATCAGGGATTGTAGATATTCATATATGTGTTACCCTATTTAAAAAATTTGTATAGGTAAATGACAAAAGTCCATCTAAAATAAAAGACACTTCTTTCGACTTATACAGAGATATTAAATGTATCAGAGGGACTAAAAACTCCTGTATACAGGGTGTTCTGCCACCTCTGGGAAAAATTTTAATGGGAGATTCTAGAGGCCAAAATAAGACGAAAATCAGGAATACCAATTTGTTGATGGAGGCTTCGTTAACAAATTATTAACGTTTAAACTTCTGGCCGTATTGAATTTTTTTCTCGAAACTGGTTAGAATTTCGAGAGTATGTCTATTCACCAAAGATGATTATAATTGACCCCTACAGCCAAAAATAACTTTCTTAAAATGATTTGAAATTTTTTAATTTAATTTTTTAATAACTTTTTAACGAAGCCTCAATCAAGAAATTGATATACTTGATTTTCGTCTTATTTTGGTCTCTATAATCTCTCATTCAAATTTTTCCTAGGGGTGGCAGAACACCCTGTATATGTATATTATCCTATTTACAAAATCTTTACAGGTAAATGACTTTTCATTTTAAGATATATAGACACTTAGAACACTAACAGTATACCAAGGACTGTAGACTTTTCTATACATATTAATCTATTTAAAAAAATTTGACAGGTAAATGGCATTTCATTTTAAGATCCATAGACATTTAGAAACATAAATAAACTGAGAATTAAGTAATATGAAATTATCAAGACTCTAAACTGTTATTAGCTAGATTTTCGTGTATTATATAGATTATGGACGTCTTATTGCACCTATTAAAAAATTCTCTATCTATTTAAAAAATTTTGATAAATAAATGGCATTTCATTTTAATATCCACCGACATTTAGAAACTTAAATAAACTGAGAGTTAAGTAATAAGAAATTATCAAGACTCTAAACTGTTATTAGCTAGACTTTCGTGTATTACATAGATTTTGAACGTCTTATTGCACCTATTAAATTAAGTACGTAAGAAATTATCAAGACTCTAAACTGTTATTAGCTAGACTTTCGTGTGTCATGTAGATTTTGAACGTCTTATGTTGCACACGTACCTCGACTCGTATTGTTAAATTGTACTCGTTTATGCTTTCGTAATCCAACTGATGATTAACTTTGATGTCCGCCCACGTGACGGACTGATCGAGCCGTTGCTGCAGGTAAAACGTGTGAAGCTTGTTGGTCTGCGCCGTGGATCCAGGCATTAGCCGGTAAAACACCGTCGGATTATTCTCGATCCCCGAGCTGTCGACACACACCAGAGTCACATGTTACAAAATCAAGCCAGGTTCGCAATCAGCTCCGCAGCGGAGTCGATTTAACAAACGGAAACGGGAAACGGAAACAGAAACGAGAACGGAAATCTCCTAGGGTAGACATATGTGTATCGAAAAAATACAAGGCTAGACAATTTACCGACTAGAAGGGAGACTGGACGTAAACAATCTTGAAAGATCACCATGCGATTCATCGACTGTACCATCCATTCGTTTCTTGTGTTCTATTTCCTTTTTCATTTCTTTCCATTTTTTTTTTTTTTTCTACCCGACAAAATGAACCTCCCTCCGATCGAGTATTCATAAAAAAAAAAGTAAAAAAATAATGTAAAGAAAGGTACATCGGAGGTGAGCCGCGATACGATCGAGGGATTCGAAGTAATTTGCCTTAATGCGCCTCACTTCCGGTCGTCGCCTGCCTTTTCCGTTTCTAGTGCGTCTAGGTCGCACGTGATCAGAATTAAAGTGTTAGTACGTCCACAACCTAAGCACACCGCGATCTCGAAAGGCGTTTTGCAAGTAACGTTGTTAATTCTAAAGCTACCGCCCATTATCCGCGTCCCAGCGACCACCCCCAGCTTTCTGCGAGCTGACTCGTTAGGGGTGTCTCGCCACGCTGCGCTGCGATGTTCGTGTCTCTCGTCGTACGTTCGTTTCATCGTGTTTGGCGATCCTATGGGGACTGTCGAGGGAGGTTGGATCAATTTTGAGAAGTTCGAACAATCGAGATTTGCTGGCAGTTCTACAAATTGGTATCGATTCTACGTGAAATATTAAAAATGATACGACAAAGTATCCAATTGTTTATACGAAATTAAAATTAAATTAAGCTCTTCGCGAAACGTTGCAAAATTAAGAAAATTTATTTCGTCGAATTTTTAAAGACTATATACCGTGTCGATGCTCTCGAACTTCGTCAAAATTTTAATGGGAGAATATAATTTTTACTCGCTGACTTTCAATCCCTTTAAGCCTAAAAGAACATGTAATACTGTGGATTTAGCAAATTATCTATTAAAATTATTCTAACTACCTTTAGATTTACTATATGTATAGATTGTAATATTTGAAAATTTTACATACAAATATTTCGAAATGTGTTTTCAAAAAATTTTAAGGTCAACTTCATTTCTTTTAAATAGATTTAAAGAAATTCATACAGGGTGTTCGACCACCACTGGGAATAATTTTAATGGGAGATTCTAGAGGCCAAAATAAGACGAAAATCAAGGATACTAATTTGTTGATGGAGGCTTCGTTAAAAAGTTATAGAAACATTTCCGGCCACACAGTATATTTTTGGTAAAGGATTTTTTTATCGAAAATACGTAGGATTTTGGAGGTATGCGTATTCACCAAAAATGATTGAAATTGACTCCCGCAACCAAAAATAATTTTTCCAGAACAATTTGAAACTTTTTAATTGTGTCGAAAGTAGCTGTCGATTTTTCTTAAAAATGCGTTTTTGATTTTTAATAATTTTGTTTAGCACACTATAGAAAAGTTGTCTAATACTTTTCTGTAGATATCCATGAGCTCTACTTCAGAAAAAATTTCATTGAAATATATTCACTATTGTAGGAGTTATGGCTGTTTGAAAATTGGGCCATTTTTATGGAGTTTTTCTCAATTTGCGGGGTCAAGGATCAACTTTTCGAATATTTTTGGAATTTCTACATATTCTTCACTAAAATACACGTTATATGCTATTTGAAACATTAAATTCCTCCAATCCATTCAGAAGTCATGACATTTTAAAAATTCGCATGACATTTCTTTCTGGCCATAAATTACATTTTCAATTGGGAATTTTTTTCTCGGAAACGCGGAGGATTTTGAAGGTATGTCTCGTCACCAAAAACGATTGTAATTAACACAAGCAGCTAAAAATAATTTTTTTAGAACAACTTGAAATTTTTTTTTTGCCGAAAAATTAGGCACCTTCTCAAATTTTTTTCTCGAAACTGCGTAGGATTTCGAGGGTATCTCTATTCACTATAAATAATTGTAATTGACCCCCGCAGCTGAAAATAATTTTTCCAGACGATTTGAAATTTTTTAATTTAATTTTTTAATAACTTTTTAACGAAGCCTCAATCAAGAAATTGATATACTTGATTTTCGTCTTATTTTGGTCTCTATAATCTCTCATTCAAATTTTTCCCAGGGGTGACTGAACACACTGTATATGTGACGTTTCTGTATCAAACTTCGTTTTAAAAAATTTAACAATTTAATAAAGAATTTTTAAAAGCGACAAGTTTCTCTCAAAACTTTCGTAATTTAAAATTAATTCACGATTAATTCAAGATTCCTAAAATCTGGAATTATGCTTGAAGCGATTAAAAATTCAGCGAAATACCCTTACAAGAACAATGGAATGTAATCGATTATGCGTTCGCTTCAACTTGTACAAAGATGGCCAAATTATTAAAGTAGTCAAAATTAAAATGTTCTTCGAATGTATTCAAACGTTCGAGAGAAATTGAAGTTTGCTCTTTCAAGATTACGAGTCTCATAAATTTTTGAAAAAGATGGATTTACAACGCTTTTTTAATCGAGTTATAGTTTTGTTACAATTCACACAAATTATCATAAATGAAATCTTGTATTTAAGGAATTGTTTTCAGAAATGATTCAATCATACTTTAACTAAACGATGTATGATCGTTATCTTACTCTATATATTTAGCAGATTACTAAATACGAAAAAGCGTCAATATATTATAAAAGCAACTAAACATCTAATATACTTCTTAAGAGCAACACAATGTAATTGACGATGAATTTTCCGAAGATAATTTTATAGTTACTACTCGAATGATGCAGTGACTTAACGATCCTGGTTTCTACTTACTTGATCATTTGAAGAATCCATTGCATTTTACGTCGAACACGGGTAATTTCTAGCTCGTGTTCTTATAAGAAACCTAGCAATAAATGGGACAATCGAGAAAGTTGAATACATTTGACCTTGTTTGAATACATGTGAGACCTTGTTTCGATACATCCTTCCAACGAGATTTGCTTCAAACTTTCAATAAACAATCACAATACTTGTACCTTATTTATAACATAACTTTCGGAATTTAGGTCCATCATATTTTTATTGCTTAAGGTTTCAATACCCATCATTCGTGAAACAGAAAGGGAGGAGCAACGTGATGAATGAAATTCAATGCGTTTCTAAAGAATGACGTTTTCCAATCGAACGGTTTGAACCTACTTTAATAAATTGGCCAGTTGGACGCCGCCACCGATCATTATTGTTGCCTGTATGGCTGCTGTGTCATCTGTTAGACGTTTGTGGATGGCTGCTCGTCGAGTGCTCGAAAGACCCGAAATTAATGGCACCGTTTGTCAGCGCGATTGACCGCCGGAACGTCGCTTCGAAGGAACGTCGAAGAAGGAAACGGAACCTCGTAACCAACGTACACGCGTCGACGAACGTCGGACGTCGTCGTCAAAATTCTGATAAACGCGCTGGACGCAGCAGCCTCCCCGTGTTGAGATTTATGAGACGATCATTCATAAAAGAGACCACTCTGCTCGGCTTAACGAAAGTAAATCAAGCTTTGCATTAATTTGTAGACGATTAATGCCGTTTGATCTCAACTCCCAGAATGTTTGCAAACCCCGGGTCGAGCTATTTCAAACGCGATTTTGCAGAGAAAATCCCACGAGAAAAGTGAATCCTTTTTCGCTCCGTCAACTGACATACCTCTGCTCCGCTTTTCCTGGCTCCGATAGTTAGCCGAACTTTCCCAACGATTTTTCAACTTCCTACTTCGAGATTTCGAATTCTGACCGAGATGTAAACGACAAAAAGTCTTACAATGATTAAAAATAGTGGGGAAAGAGTAAGTTTTTGGATAAATTTTCATTGGTAACTAATCTATGATATTTGAGAACGAAATCATGTACCATACTCGTTAAAAGACATCGAACAGGTGTGCTTTATCGAGAAACTGTTGTAACAACGATAGGGTTGCTTGTTTCGACATAATAACGAGTAGATTTCATTGTAAGTTCAAAAATGAACAATTTTTAGCAAGGAACAAATAATTCTATTTCGTGTACTTAACGTGTATATTGCCAAATACACTTAATAACTCTTCTAAAAGTATTACAATCATTATAAATAGTGGGGAAAGAGATAGTGTTTGGATAAATTTTCATTGGTAACTAATCTATGATATTTGAAAACGAAATCATCTACCATACTCGTTAAAAGACATCGATCAGGTGTGCTTTATCGAGGAGCTCTTGTAATAACGATAGAATTGCCTCTTTCGACATTATAACGTGTAGATTTCATTCTAAGTACAAAAATGAACAATTTTTAGCAATAAACAAATAATTCTATTTCGTGTATTAAACATATCGATTGTTAAATACATTTTAAAAACTCTTCTGAAAAGTATTAAAATAATTAAAAATAGCGGGAAAGAGTAAGTTTTTGGATTTTTCATTGATAACTAATCTATTATATTTGAAAACGAAATCATCTACCATACTCGTTAAAAGACATCGAACAGGTGTGCTTTATCGAGGAGCTCTTGTAATAACGATAGAATTGCCTCTTTCGACATTATAACGTGTAGATTTCATTCTAAGTACAAAAATGAACAATCTTTAGCAAGAAACAAATAATTCTATTTCGTGTATTAAACATAGCGATTGTTAAATACATTTTAAAAACTCTTCTGAAAAGTATTAAAATAATTAAAAATAGCGGGAAAGAGTAAGTTTTTGGATAAATTTTCATTGATAACTAATCTATTATATTTGAAAACGAAATCATCTACCATACTCGTTAAAAGACATCGAACAGGTGTGCTTTATCGAGGAGCTCTTGTAATAACGATAGAATTGCCTCTTTCAACATTATAACGTGTAGATTTCATTCTAAGTACAAAAATGAACAATCTTTAGCAAGAAACAAATAATTCTATTTCGTGTATTAAA